AAGGCAGCTAGCCAACATCGTGATATACGCATTCAGTTCATAGTCTGGAGGAGTGAGTGCCAATCCTACCTTCAGATCAACAATTTGAAAAGAGGGTTTTGAAAGTCTTAATGATAACAATGTGCAACTGTAATAAAATTAGAATTAAACAGCCAAGTGTTATGAAACTCACACAGCCTGCCTTGCTTAAAAAAACATTTTAGCCAGATACTTTGTACTTTTAAACAAATTAAAACAAGCCATATTTTCATAGTTATTTTTCAGTTAAGATATGCAGTGTTAATATGCGCTGCAGGAGAATCTATATTAGGTGTAGTAAAAAAAAACAATCTGGGTAAAATAGGATCTTTATTGTTCTTATATGTATGTATGGTTGAACTGGATGGACTTTTGTTTTTTTCAGCCAGACTAACTGTAACTATATTTCATTTTTTAATGGAATAAAATGAATTAGGACTGTGTTGATATGACAAAACTGAGAAATAGACATGACTGAAATCGACTATATAGCCAGTGGGCCAGAAATACTGGCTCTACAATGATTCTGCATATTGGCTCAAGTACCTGAAACCACCTCTCTTATCCTAAATGCAATTTGTTTGCATGTTATGGTCTGTTCAGGCCCTGTGCAAGCATGTTATGGTCTGTTCAGGCCCTGTGTAAGCAATGTTATGTGTTGGTATTCTTCATGTGAAAAACAGACACCATTAATGCTAGTTATTATATATATGTTGGACACTTGTGTGCTTTTTTAATAAAACAGTGTAATGAGCAAAGTGCAGGAACAAAAAACAATAAACCATGTCCTGGCCTGGTTACAGTAAAGTGGAATGTGGTTGGATGTTCTAATTTAATTCTCTAAGTTTCTTGTCAACGGCACTGATCATTTGGAGAAAAAACCAAGAGGCTGGTTTTCTAGAAGTTGATCAGTAGATCAACTTCTGTACAACTAGCCTGCCCGTACATGGATTGAAATTTCTCCAGTTCCTGCAGATCATGCCTTAGTGTCAGCCCTGTCCATTTGTCTGATGTTAAACTACTAAATACCAATAATTTTCCTCATCTCCAGAATATAAGCTCTAATTATTCTTTAGTGCAAAATAAAAACTGGGAGAAATTCTTAAGATAACACAGGAGTTGTACACAGGACAGCTCTGAATGTCTGACATGATCAATGGTTATATTTTGCACGTAACAAAATGCTTTTAATAGTATATTTGACAGACCAAAAACAAACAAATAAGAGAAGTTTATTGTTGGGGTTTACTTACACTTTAATTTGGAAACTGTAACCTGGGCCTAAATACATCCCAGAATACATTTTTGGGGTTCCCATGCTGTTAGAACCAATAGTCATTCTACAGCATCCAATTATTCAGTAGCTGGGTTTTAGGAAAAATTTAAATCTCATAATGATGGAAAACTCACATTTTGTTCTACACTAACATGGTAAACTGACAATCTTGGCACCAACATCAGAAAGTATAGCACATATACAGTATCTAATTGGCAATAGAAGAATGTCAGCTGAATTTTGAGTGCTATTGTGTAGAAATCAGTTACACAAAAAAAGGCATTGCAAAAACTTCAGCTGTTGCTTACCACTACCCCAATCCTATGTTAACACATATTTGGTTTCAACAAACAGCCCCATTCTTCTTTTGCTTTCATTTTAATAAACTAATTCTGGTGCCTATACAAATAAACACAGTGATTTGCATAAGGAATATAAATCTGCCAAGTGAGTACTGTCAGCATCATAATGAATTGGAATTCCCCTGGTGGATGTAAATACATTGCAAGACAATAGAATTCATAGCCATAGATGTAGTATGCAAAGTAACAATGGAGGAGTGTTTCATCAGTGACACCATATAGCTTCAGCCTACCAATAAAGTTTTGCTTGTTGCATGCTGGTCTCATTTTTAAATTCAAAATTCAGGCTGCCTCAAAATTCATTTCTCCTATGAAGCTTGGAAATGGCACTTGACATTTTGCTTGTCCTCCTGTGCCTGCATTCTAACATACCACTGTGTGTTTATTTTCAGGGGAGGATGACATAAATCTGTGGTTAATGTAAAAGCTCCATCAATATTATGATGCCACAGTAATGTGCATTATGTGCATTTTCATTATAAGAAGGGTTTGGCCTTTTACGCCTTTTGTGTGCTGATCCCACATATTTATAAGTCAGGGATTAATAGCAAACCAGCTCATCAGTGCTACAATCATAAAAATGCTGCTGGCACTGGAAAGATACATACATACCCAAATCTATCATTCCAGGCCATACTTCAGGGCCAAAAATGCTTATTTTATTTAATAATCAGCAATAATTTGAAAACTCATTTGTTGATGTTTTGCAATTTCATTTTCACAGGCTCTAAATCAATAGAAAATCTCCCCCTTGGTGTTTGTTCTAAATTACTGAGCTTTGATGTCATATTCAGTCATTTGTTATAAGTGTTGCTTTAATCATTAAAGTGGATAAGTGGATGTATGCTGTGTTTTTACTGCAGTTGCGTCTGAATGATCACAGTGTAAAGGTTGAAATAAATGGTTGCAACTCAACTTATAACTGGGGAATCCATTGTTCCCATTTTACTCTGCAAAGTCCAAAACTTACTCTTCCCATTTAACCTGTTTTGAGAGACCTATTCAAGCTACATAATTTCATGCTCTCCAAGAGAACTGACATATATTATTGGTTTAAAAATAATTAAACCTGATATCAAGTTCCAATAAAGTAGGTCATTGAGTGTCCCCTTACATGTGCATCTTGCGGTAAAAGCTAGTTATAGGTTTGGATGGTTGACATTATTTGTACAGTAGGCCATTGAGTTTACAGAGACATAGATTACTCTCACCATTAATGATAATGTAGTCATTAAATTCTTAGCAATGCACTCTAACTTTGAGATTTAAAATTATTGCTTATTTCCAAATCATTAACCCCCAATTAAACAAAAAAAAAACTATTTGCTATAGCATATTGTATGTTTCAAGGCAATTTTTTTAGATTCCTACATTCTTTTGTTCTGGAGATATTACATTTACCAGATGAAATGGTGAAACGTTTCAGAAGGAGGTGCTCTTTATGAAGGATAAAGGTAATGAAGAGCTTGTCAATCATTGAAGCAAACTGGCCATATGCCTGCTTTTCTAAATGATGACTCATTTGTCTAGCACACAAGCAGGGGATTGAAACACATCTTTTAAAACTCCAAGGAGTTTTTCAGAAGATAGGTTTCAATGCAGTGGTAAGGAGAATTTAAAGCTGTTATTCAGCTGGCTGAAAATAAGCTATAGTGCATGTGTTATTTGGTAGAATTTCTGTTATGTTCTGCCATGTAACTGTGATAATCCGCTCACATTGCTAAAAATAAATAAAGAACTTTATGGCAAAAAAATCTATATATGACAGTTGTGATTGTAATGGGCTCATGCATCCACACTGGAAAGAAGAACTGAAGCTGTTTCCCATAGCAAGCAGCCAGAATTCTTATTTACTGACTGGTTGCTAATGGAAACAACTAATTTGTGCACATTTTATTTTCTCCAGTTTTGATGAATCAGCCCTTAAAGTGTAGTTCTACATTTTGCGTATAAACAACATATTATTTCTACATTTTGAGTAAAATAACATATTATTTCTAAGACAGGCATAACAAAATCTGAGAGAATTTGGAGGTTGACATTGCTGTCTTACCCCTAAGAAATTGCTAGCTGGATGGCTGTCACAGTGATTCAGTGGTTTCCATACTTTCTTAGTCACTACTAATCTGGGGAAAAAAATGTGCAGGTTAGAAGATCTTACTGTGCTCTGAGTCTTCTGCTCTGTATGCTTGCTCCAGGTCAGTGAGAAAGTATTATACCAGAGACAGCCATGCAAATAGGGGAAATTACAAGACCACCATGTCTACCCTCCTTCCTAAGTGATGATGTCCTTTAGCAGAAATCACTAAATTAACAAATTATTCATTTGGAAGAAGCATTTCACATGGAAATACACATTCACACCTATTTGAAACATGTGGTGAAAGTGCATAGAAGGATCCCAAAATGGGGAAAAAGCCTACCTGCATCAATGTTGTTGCTTATAGAACTTTCATTCCTCCGCTAGACTAGACTGAAAAACCAAAGTGTTAGACAGCAGGCTACATGGAAAGGCCACCATGCCCATACAGGGGTCCAATATATCCACTGACTAGTCGGCAATGCATCCATGCAATCAGCAACACAAGCTTAGAAAAAAAAGTATGCAAACAGGCCATAAATTCTACACAAGTCAGTTGTCTGCGACCACTCTGGTGTAAAAACATTGGATGTAAGCAAGGCAGTGATAGAAATGCTGATCTGTGCCTACTCACAAAATACTTTTACCATTGCATCTCTTGACTAACACATGAAATGCAGGAAATATTGCTTCTGTGATAGCTAAGCTTTGTTTGTTTCATTGTCTAGATGTCCCTATATGCTATATGCTAAGGAGAAGCAATGACCACACACATTATTCAACCAGTGTAATGCTAGTGCTCAGGGGACCCTGAAAAACATTTTTTTTTTCCAATGAAAAGGTGTTGGTGTTCCTTAAAATAAATTTGATTTATTTAAAGAGGAAAAATTGTGAATTTGAGTGTTATTCTTTTATTTGTACAACTATATAGTAGTGCCTAAAATAGTTCTACTTGTTTAACAAGCCACATTATGGCTGCCTATATAGTCTTATGAAAAATCATATTTTAACCACTTGCCTACCAGGCACTTTTAGCCCCTTCCTGCTCAGGCCAATTTTCTGCTTTCAGCACTGTCACACTTTGAATGACAATTGGGCAGTCATGCAACACTGTACCCAAACAAAATTGTTATCATTTTTTGAGACAGATAGAGCTTTCTTTTGGTGGTTTTTAATAACCATTGGGGTTTTTTTTATTTTTTACTAACAAACAAACAAACAAAAAATACTGAAAATTGTGAGATTTTTTTTTTCTTAGTTTCTGTTATAAAATTTTGTAAATAAGTAATTTTTCTCCTTCCCTGATGTGCGCTAATGAGGCTGCAGTGATAGGCATTGATAGGCTACATTGATGGGCACTGATAGGCAGCATTGATGAGGAGGTACTAATGGGCATTGATAGGCATCACTTGTGGGCATTGACAGGCATCACTGATGGGCACTGAAAGGCAGCACTCATATATGGCACTGATAGGTGGCACTGACGGGCACTGATAGGTGGCACTGACTGGCACTGATTAGAACTGTTAGGAGGCACTGATTGGACCTGTTAGGCAGCACTGGACAGGCACTGATAGGCAGCACTGACTGGCATTGATAGGTGGCACTGATAGGCGGCACTAACTGGCACTGATAGTTGGCACTGAAAGGCAACTCTGATGGGCACTGATATGTGGCATTGATGTGCACTGGTAGGCACTGATATGTGGCATTGATGTGCACTGATGGGCACTGGTATGTGGCATTGATGGGCACTGACAGGTGGCATTGATAGGAATTGACAGGAGGCACTGATGGTGCTACACTGATCATCAGGGCACTGTGTCCCCTGATGATCAGTGTAGATGTCCGCTCTGAGGAATGCTGATTACCGGCTCTCCTCTCCTCATGCGCTGTCAGCATTTCCTTATTTACATGCAATCAGCTGTAACTGGACACAGCTGATCACATGACAGAACTGACATCATCGGCTCTCTTGCTCTCATCAGTGATCCGCTGTGTCCCAGGGACACAGCGCACCACTGATCGCCGCTCACACCCCATAGGCGCGAATACGCAGTTAGAGTGGGAGGACGTCATATGACGTCCTCCCAGAATGTGAGAACCGCCACCCACCTGTCATTTCCTTATATGGCGGGTGGGATGCCATTAAAGGCAACCAAAAATTACCAACAATGTTTTGCCAATAATGGAAATATAATATAGCCCATACAGCAAAACATAATATGACACAGAACAGAGAAACATTCTCCAGCTGCTGCAAGTTGGCATTTGATACTAGGGACTGCTAGAATTGCAACAGCACATTTTCATTCTATTTGGTGAAATATGTCTCCAAAGTTGTTCTACTCTTTGAAATAAAATGGCAGCAAGCTGGCTACCCACATGGCTGTTTCCCGATAAAATGCTGATCCCTCACTTATAACTCAGCTGAGTCTATTATTTTCTCTTGACAAATCTCAGATTACCATTAAGTGCCTATTAGTTCTTTACTCACAGTATATGCAAATGCAACTGCATATTAAATAAGATAAAGGGTTGCGGAAACAAAAAATATCACACAGCATAGAGACAGAATTGAGTAAATACACATTAAAACTGTCTATCGAGAATTGTTTGAATGTTTTGAAAACCTAACTCATCAAACCTATGATTAGGCTGAAAGCATAATTATTTTGTAAAAGAATAGGCTTTTTTCATTTCTCAGGGTATGCTGGAAATCCATACAGTTTGCAACAGCCCCTAAAATTACAGTGATAACAAGATTAATATGAAACATCTAACACATTACAGGGTCACACTGTTGAAAAAAAGATCACCCACAGTCGACAATAAAGATACCCTTAATCTTCAGTGTATTGAAAATATTAATTTTCAACAGATGCTGAAAAATGGAAAAGGATATTTTCATCAGCTTACTTTATATTCATGAAGATAAGATATGTATAACCAGATCTGTCAGCTACAAATGGAATATTTTCTCTTATTTTTACAGTTTTGTCTGCATATATCTACCTCTAGACTGCTAAATAACTATTTACATGCCTGGACTCAAGGAAATTGAGAGTTTTTAGAACTCCCAGTCTTGGGACTAGAATTATACATACAAAGTATCTGCTCCTTGACCTGTTGTCTCACTGCTCTTTTGGTCATACATAATATATGCAAACAAAGCTAAAGATTTAAGCTCTGGATTTGCCAAACCGATAGCACCAATATTAACAAACAAGCAATAATGAAAATGTTATGGTCTTCAAAAGTGATCATGTAGGACATTGTATGTAATGAACAATTTACAAGACCAAACGGTCTAACAAATGAAAGTTGCTGCTTTGTAAGAAGAAACTCTAATAAAAGTACTTAACCACTTGCCCTCCAGAAGATGTACCCCTCCCCAAGACCAGGCCATTTTTTTTTTTGCTATGCTGCACTGCACTACTTTAATTGAAAATTGCGTGGCCATTTAACACTGTACCCAAATGAAATTTATATAATTTTTTCACACAAATAGAGACTTTTTTTTGGTGATATTAGATCACAAAAAAGGACCAAAAACTTAGATTTTTTTTTTATTTTTTATTGGAATATATTTTTTCAAATCGCTTCATAAATTTAGGCCAAAATGTATTTCTGCTACATGTCTTTGGTAAAAAAAATCCCAATAAGTGTATGTTAATTGGTTTGTGTTCATGTTATAGAGTCTACAAATTGACGGTATACTGTATATACTGAAGTTTTTATTTATTTATTTAGTTACTAGTAATGGTGGCGATCATTGACTAATAGTGGAATTGTAATAGTGTGGCGAGTAATAACACTGAGTGGAAACTGACTAACTGATAGAGACATCACCAGTGACAAAATACAGTGATCAGTGCTAATATTATTTACTGACACTGTACAAATGACACTGGGTAGGAAGGGGTTAATATTGGGGGGGTAAACTATGTGCCTAGAAAGTGTTTATGTGTGTGCTGTATGCTGATTTTACTAAGGGATTTTGTTATTTTTTCCTGGCTTAGCAGGAAATTTAAACAACAAGATCGCCTGTGTCCTATACAGAGCTCTGTTTGTGAATAACTGAGCTGATCAGTGGGTCAATCATTGGCCAGGACCCACTGATCATCACGTGAACCCCCCTTACCCGGAAGAATTGGATCATTTACCAGGCACGTTATGTGGTCGGCAAGTGGTTACACAAACCAGAGCCCCAAAATTGGGTTAGGGCTTGTTCTGTGGACAGTAGAATGTTTGCAATCATTGCAATGCTCATAATGCAGAACATCAGGAACAGACCATATGGATCCCAATGCTACCAACTAATGTTCACAGTGTAATGAGATTCATGGTTTTAGGTTATGTGCACCTGAAAATCATTAAACATGTCACTCCGCACAAAACCTAGTCTCTGATATCAAGTATGGCTAGATTAGGACAGACCAGAGCAATAGCACAGAAAAAATATTGCATGATGCACTTTTTTTTTTTTTTTTAGCTTAATAGCAGTAGTAATACCAGATCAAACTATTGCATAGACCATTATAGCTTCCTAAAAAAATGATGATTAAAACTTATTTAGATGTCTTTTAGTGTCACTCAGTGCGCACAGTTGTCTGCACAGGTAATTAGAACTAGAAGATGCATGACTAAGAATGAGAAGTACTTAGGTGCTGCCCACACACTGTCCTGTGCTTTCTATGAGGCTTGGCTTGCATTATGTGGTGGCGCATATTTGACTAAGCCTTGCTTCCCCCTTCTAAATAAAAAAAGGAATGATTTACACTTGTATCACAGGGATTACTCCTTACATGATGATCAGAATTGCTTACTAATGTTTCTCAGTTTAAATAATTGTATGATAGTCACCCTAATTCTTTGATATAATTTCAAAGACAAAAAAATATATGGTAACAAGAAAATAGCATCATTATACATTAATATCACAAATGGCACTGCATGGTTTGACAAAAGTATTATTTTTATAATGTCACATGCTTTTATTTATAAATGAAGTGAAAATGTGAGAAGTAATCAGACCGCGCTTTGCATAAAACTTTTCCTTCGAATCCTTACCCAGTTTGTTTAGGGATGAATTTGTATTAAGCCCGATGGCTCAATACAAAGGAGCACTTAGAAAAGTGTTAGCTAAAAAGAATACGAGCTGTTCTCTTCTCTTAGTGATGTTCGTGATGCCCTTATTCTTGCTAATGTCTCTCTTTAGTGGGGAGGATCATTGAGTCCAGCAAAAAATGGATGTGTACTTCCAGTGTTCCATAGATCCCAGCTTTCATGAAAACATGCCATTATATTTGCTGCACTGCTCTTTTGTATTCTTAGGCACCCTGCACACTGAGCTTAAACAAAAATGCCATTCCCATATAAAGCTCATATAGAGAGTTTTCGTACACAGATTTAGGCACGTTTAGGAGTGTTTAGGGTTTCTTTCTGACGAAACTCCTGTCAAAAAAAGCAAAACATGATGGATATATTTTTTTCTGCCTCTGAACACTAAGCTTAAACTATGCTCCTAAACATCTTCATGTGCATGGACACATAGAATGACACTGAACTGCTCCCAAAGAAAAACACAAAACTCCTGTAGAAACAGTGATTTTTAGACCAGTGTGCATGAACCCTAAATGCAACAATATGTTTGAGCTTAGATGCCTAACAATTCACTGAATATAATATAATCTCCATGAGGCTTATCATGTAAATTATTTTATCTCAGATAAAAATGTGGATGTGGCAATTTTTATGGGATCACTGCGCTGAAGTAGTTATCATTTTGCTTCTTGTTACTATTTTTCATTCAAGCTGAGCATGCAGTAAAACTTTAAGTCTGTCTCGAGGAGCCACTTTAGCCTGTATTTGTTCACTCTTTCAAAATCAATGTCCATTTTATCTGAGATGTGTTATGCTTACATGACAGACATCAGATACTGAAGCATAGTGTTCTCTAAATAACGGATGCAGTAACACATTGATAAAGCAGCACCAATGGTAGAGCCCACTGTTCATTCCTGTTTGCCTCCCTTATCATAATTGTAGGAAAAAAGTCTACAAAGACAAAGCATACAGAACTGATTTACTTTAGTGATACCAAGCAGCCTGTTAACTTTAACTGAAATTGCTTTTTCACTCGGAGGAGAAAGACAAATATTGGATAATTTGCATTTGCACAATCCGATATAACAGTATGGTCAACAGAGGACGCTTCAGTATTCATTGATCTAAACATGCACCCTTTAAAATACCTTGTGTGGACCACTCATGGTAGTAGGGTGCTAAACCTCAGGGAAATGCAATCGCAGCAGCTGGTATGCGTAATGTAAATGAAAATCATGAATTATCTCTGGCAAGGGATGACAGACCAGAATAATAAGATTGTAATATGAAAATATATCTTCACTGGAATTACTAATTAAGATACATAGTAAACATTTAGCATAATTATTCAGGTTTCAGTGTGTTACTTTAGCTATTACAGAGTGACGTTTGGGTTTTCATTGTGCAGGCAGGACATAATTGATGATTGAAACATAATACTATTAACCACTTGTAGTGTTCAAATTCATTCTAAAATACTACTAGGACTGTTATTACTTTCTTGAGTACCA